CCACATCTGTGTACCTGGCTCTTTAGGGGGAATGCAGCCCTATCCAGAGTCAGATGCACTTCTCCATTCACATCGAGAGTTCCCCATCAATAACATTTTGGTCTTGCCTGGATTAAGCTTCAATCTGTTTGCCCTCATTCATCCCAGAACTTCAGTCATCTTTTCACCTTCCTGTTTAGGTTTTCCATTGTATTCTTGGAATTAGAGGAGAGACAAAGCTGCTTATAATTTGTATACTGATGGCATTTTAGAAATAATCTTCTGGATTATTTCTTCCAGCAGTTTAAAGGGGAGAAGAGGGACCCTAACCCTAACCCTGAAGTATCTCAAACATCTGATGAAGTTTCATTAAAAAAAGTTTCACATCTGATGATGTTTCATGAAAGCTTATGCCTTTTACTAAAATTTGTTAGTGGAAAAGATGCTACCAGGCTCCTGATTTGAAGCCTCTCAAAGAACAAGAGTTGGGAATAGAGATCTCCTCAGGATCCATCTTCTGAACTCTGCCCCAAGTTCCAATCCATAAATACAATCCAAAAAGATACTATGGATGACAGATAATATGAAAACCAACCAAAATATAATAGAGACCCAACTTGATACAATCATATCCATTTCTTGATCTATATCATCTACCAACATGACTAAATAATTTCTTACCCTAAACCCAGATAGGAAGACAAACTGGAATGGATCCAATTTGGAATGAATCTCAGAGAATCAATATTCCTCAAGACTGTCTGAAAATGACAGCTACAAAATGATCTAGACCTTAAAATCAAACAATGTAGCGGCTACACCCATCTCTTATTACTTGAAACTAGGCATTGAATATGAGCAATTTTGTAAAATATAACTGTAAGTGGCCAAACAATCCTTCAAAAGTGGAATGTTGACCCAATGGGTCAGCAATAAACCAGCCTTAACAACCTGGAAAATTTCTACTATCAGTCAATCTGCACATTAAATGGGGGCAGCAAAATAAACTTTTCTTGCCACAGTCCCAGTGACAATGTATGTCCTAACTGACTCTTTGGTTTGATTATATTAATCTCCAGCCCTTGTTTTAGCTATCAGCCTTGCTACTTCACTGTTCTCAATTCAATGAAATACTAAAAAGTTGCAGTAACTTTGTGATTTCATTGAGGAAGCTTAGGAAGGATAGTTTCCCTAACCTGCATCATCTTCCAGTTCCAGGGTCAACCCTCTCTTATAGGTTTGCATGACATATATTGGCCTACTTAAAATAAATTACACACCACAGTCACCAGAGTAAACTGAGGCTCAGACCTAACTTAGAATGACCAAGTTTTTGAAGTTGCACACATAATTTTAAAATACCTGCTTAAGCAGGCTGTATAAATGGGGCTTCTGAATTAGCAGCAGTATGTACATATTAGCTCAAATAACTAATTAGAATTTCCCGGAGATTCCACTGCCTGAAACTGATAAAATCTGATAAAAACACAATCCTACGAGAATCTTTTAATTAGCTAAATTAGGGAGGAAAAAATGTAAATTACCACTCTTCTAAACAGTATAAATTCATAGCAGTACCAGAGGAATTCTCAATAATCTAATTTCTAGCAGTTTGCATTTTATGAGGTTCAAGTGTTCTTTTTTTCAGATTTCAGAACACACCTATTTTAATTTGTCTGGATTCACTCTGCTATGATTCCAGCATAGCTCTAGAATATCTTTGTATTCTGTATTGGGCTCACAAATCATGGCACTTATGGTCTATTTAGCCATAGTTTATTTATAGATTTAAGACCATGGTTCATAAACCAAATATACACATGACACCATAAACAAACCATCCACATTATTGCTTCCTATGAAACTGTTACTATCCTCCAATCTTTTGTCTTTGTTAATCCATCACTTTATCTGCCTTGCTGGCTACTCAATGTGTTACCTAGACTCTCCAAGTCAGTACAAGAAATCAATGTGAAGTTTTCTAGATCTCTTACATTATTCCTTGTTATCCTTACCTACTGCTGTCTCTATTCTGGCTCCTAAACCCCATTTTCCATTCCCAAGGCACTTCTATCTTCCTTGATCAACTTGCCGCCTCATTATCTGAGAGAGACCCATTTGCCTTAAAGAACACTTCCTTCTCCGATAAACATCCAATGACCTCAGGGCTCTGGTTTGATAAAGCTATCAGTTGTTTTAGGAACACTTTATGGGTTGTAGGAAGAAAACACATCCTCTTTGTGAGGTTCAGGTTCTGAGGTAATCTGATGGTCAAGGACCCATAAGAAACTGCTATTTACCATCTCAACAAAAATTATTTAATATTTTCCAAATTATTTTTAGCCAAATTACCCAAAGAATGGTTTTTGTTTGGCCATTCCATCATCAAAAAAGGGACGTTGGGGCACATTTGGTACACTTTTCTGAAATATACTCAAAGATTAGATGCATTTGACCTCATTCTAATTTGGACCTAAAAAAAAATGAGTCTCTACTGCTGCCCTCTAAATGTTGCTGAACTGGACTCTAATAATATCTGGAAGGCTGTATGTACTTCACAGCCAGAGAGTACCTCTAGTCTTACCCAGACAGACCTCATGTGTAGTTCAATCCAACACCCTAGTCATTTCTGGATTAAGAGTTGGAAAAACTGCAGGACTACCCATGGCTGCACAGAATGGGAGTCATATGATCTTTGTTGCTGTTTTTTTTTTCATCCTCACTCAAGCAAGTGCTGAAACAGGGAGAGAAGGGGAAATGGGGAGAGGCCAGTGTTGATTTACCCCCTTTCCTAAATTGTACAAAAAAAGGGGGGGAACATGAGCTATCAGCTGCAAACATGGTTGAAACACCATTCAAAATGGCAATTTAACTGGGTCAGTCTTTAGTTCCTTCTTTTTTCTAACACTCAATTACCATATTATTGTAGATAGTTACATAGTTACCTGAGAATAGCCACAGACTGTCATGTGAACAGGGTTCATGGTTATTTTATTTCTTTCTCTTGCCCATCTTTTGTCTCAGGATAGTATGTTTTCTAATCCATAAATAACTAAAATACTAACCAATCCATTCTCTATTTTGTATGCAAATGACTGCCTCTCCATGCTTTGTGGGTGACCATAATTTACTCACAGTTTAACAACAGGGTTCATGGTTATTTTATTTCTTTCTCTTGCCCATCTTTTGTCTCAGGATAGTATGTTTTCTAATCCATAAATAACTAAAATACTAACCAATCCATTCTCTATTTTGTATGCAAATGACTGCCTCTCCATGCTTTGTGGGTGACCATAATTTACTCACAGTTTAACCATAGGTTATTCAATAAGCCACAACAAGCTATGTTCACACAACCCATTAAGCCTGGGATGGGCAACTTTCTTATGGTTAAAGGATGCAGTTAAGATGGAAAAACAAACAGAGCTTTGGGAATTTTAAGGGGTGAAAAGACCAATTTCATCTCTTAATTCCCACCAAATACCAAAAAATGCAAATGCTTTGATCCAGCCAATTTTAGAGATGGGCTGGAGACCACATAAGGTTGCAGCTTAATTTTTTTTTTTTTTGCTTTATTTTGGCATTTCATCTTGTATGAACTCAGCTTGTGTGAGGGTAAAATAAACGTGTACTTTTTGAATATTGTTTATTCAATCACTGTTAAGTCTGAATGCTTAACAATTCCTTTTAGCAAGTTGCAGTAAAATACTTGAGATACTTAATCCCTATTTATCAGTTAGAAATCACTATTACCCTAATGTTGAGTCACTGATGCATACATTTTGCTATTAGGGTTACAGTTGTAAAAAGGTCCTTTGTATTAGTTCCTGTATGTGAGTTTGGAGATACGGATGAACAGAGAATACCAAGGAAAAGCAATGAAGATTAAATAAACTGCCAGTTCTAACTGCTTCAGACAGGGCCACAAGTAGTACATAACTGGAGGCCGTATCAAGACTGCTAT